CTATAAAGTAATTTATGGAATATGCAGCAAAGACAACCAAAAATCAACTTCTAATCCCACTTCTAACTCTTGTCAAGAATTAAGTTGTCAAGTTGTTAAAATTCATCCCAACAAATTTTTACAAACTGAATTTTCTCATGCTTAAAATGGATAGAAGACATCAATGGTCTTAAAATGTGTCTCACTGGTATCATTTAGCTTCTATCTTTATCCCTTCCTTAGGGTTAGAGTACATCATGCAACAATCAAGGCCTTATGTAACTGTACTCAGCAGGCCTTAAACAACACTCTACTAATCTCTTTCTTCTGAACGAGCAAGTAAAATTAATGAGGCAAGCTGTTCTCCAAAAATCAGATGACATCAGACATTCTAACAGTAGCCCAAGACATTCTAACTTGTGCAATTATAAAAGCTGAATGTTGTATGTACATGCCTGATCTTCCTACTAATATCTCAACAGCTGTTCAAGATATTAGACAACAAGGTAATGATGTTACATTTTTAAATCCCCAGGACTTTATCCTTATCCTCTTTATGGAACGTTATTACTGGCTCCTCCTGATGGAAATCTTTGTTGGCTATATTTGCAATTATCCTGTTGATTTTATTATTTGACCCATACATAAATTTTTCTGTGGCCTTGTTTCCTCCAGACTGAAAGTTGTACAACCACTCAAGAACCTATTGAGGGGCTTTAGACAAATGCCTGTGGAGTTTCTCTGACTGCCAATCACAACTAAGACTCTCTTCAGCTGGAAGGAGCCAGATCCATCTTTTATCCTTGCCCTCATAGCAATTAGGGGTACTTCTTCAGAATATTATAGATAGCTAAGTTAAGTAGGAATATTATGGGCAGGGCTGGTTCCTCAAAAGGCCAATGCAGAAGACTGTTGTTTTGGCTGAAGGCACAGTCCCTGACTGCCATGCTTCAAGAAAAAGCAGAACTACTCACCCCTATACTTTCCCTAGGGATGAACAGCAGTGATTGATATTCTAAGTAGGCATCAATCATCTTGGAGTGAAGAACCAAACTTCCTTAACCCACCCTTTCCAGTTAAGTCTTTGCCCATGTGCGCATGCTATGTAACTTGTTTCTCTATTTGATCTCCCATTTAATTAATATTCCCCAAGTGACTATACTTGTTGTGTGTTTCTTGGCTGACCACAGTGTTGTCCCATCTCATTAGCTCAATTATTACCTAAGTGACAATACTTATAATATTGACTAGTTATAGTTCTGTCCTACCTTAGGCTGCCTCACCTCATGACTCTGCTCAAGAACCACCCTTAAGAAGCAGGGTTGGTGAGCAAACCACTTTATTGACCCCTTCTCTCCCTTCTCAGACAGAAGCTTTCTTTTTCTCAATAAATTCTTCCTACTCTTACAAAATAATAAAATAAAATGAGGATAAGACTACCTGCCTATACGGCTACCATGACAGTTACATGAATTAAGGCCAGTGACATCATTACATAAATTCTATGTTCATCTCTAAAAAGCAGAACTCTTTTACCCTGCCAGTGGCCCACAAATGGGGCTCAGGATAAAGACTGGTGGCCAGGAGAAGAGAGAGGCTAACATTCTCTTAAAACAGCTTTTGTTCTGGCAGTCTGGAAACCAAGCCAAGTAATATAACCTGAATTTACCAAGGCACAGGTATATAATTTTAAAACAAATATTTAATCCATTTATTGTGAAATAAAACTGTCAACTTACTCCATTTCTACTTGGCAATGACTTATAGCAGCCCCCCATTTGTAACATGGTAAGCAATGGTGGAAGGTACAACAAAGGGTCCTTTCCACAGTGGGAAATGACAACCACATCACAGCCTCGTGCTATGGGAGGCCAAGAGTAAGATTCAGTGTAGCTAGGTCCTGGGAACTTCTTTCTCTGAAGAGCCTACAAAAAAATAAGTCAACAACCAAAGTTACTGGAAAGTAGAAAAGATAAAAGTTCCACTCCCTGCTCCCTTTACTCCAATTATCAGTATGTAACAAAGAGGTTCTAATACCAACCTGGTAAGTCCCAGGAATCTTTTCTCCACACCAAACTCTTATTTTATGACTAGTTTTCTGGACCCCAAAATATAAAGGTCCAATAGGTAGTCCACTGATCAGATGATACTTTGTTTATACTTCTAATAATCTGCCAATCTAACAGCCTCACTTGTAAAGCTTTGTTAAAAACATTTTGCTTATTTTTCTGTTACTACCACTAAAACCCAAATGTTCCAACAGAGTTCTCCAATCACAAATTCATATTTTCCAAAAGGGTGAGCTTATCCTCACACCATCTCTGACATCTTCCTCCACAGAATCCTGAACTTTGGCTGGAATGACACAGCTTAATCTGCTGTTTACCCAGGAGCTTCCTCTGTCTGCAACCTCTGTAGTCTTCCCTGGTATGCTTTGTTTTGTGAAGAAGATATTTCTGTAGCTTCTTCACAAAAGGCACAAGGAAGGTCCTTTTTTGAGAGACTCTACTTAAGTAAAAATATCTTTATTATACTCTCACATTTCACTGGTTTGTAAGTCTGAACCTGAAAGCTAAAATAGCTTCTCTTTAGAGTGCAAAATTCCACGCTGCTCAGAGGTCGCTGGGGAGACCAGGCTGGCTTCTAGACTCATGGTGAAACTGACTTTTCCTTGAGAAGTTTCCAGGTCTCCAAAGCCCTGAGATTAGATGCTTCACAGCCATGTATTTAATATCTGTTCATCAGCTATGCTGTCTTCAGGTACAGACTGTGGTGGTATAAATTCAGCATATCCATTAGGTCCACAAAATGTTCACATGACACTCCCTAGAGAATTAGCTACTATTTCCCTTAAGTCTTTCTAGAAATTTCTTTTTCAAATACTGAATCTCAAGTGGAGCCACAAATTCATTTTTCCTTTTCCATCTATGCTTTCTATTTTCTGTGAACTTCTATTTTATATCTCATACCTGTAATTTTTAAAAACATGTCATTGTTTAAAGCTTCTATATCATTTTGAACTTTTTATTTTCTGCTTTTCTCTATTGAAAAAGAAAGTTACAACATAGTATATGTTGTAATTGTCACCAGGTTTTGGGGTTTTTTAAAAAAATAAGCTCTCATTATGTAGTGCAAGTTGACCTCAAACTCATGATTGCCCACCTCTTCAGCCTCCTTAGTGCTGGGAATATGGGCACGGGCCACCAAACCTGGCTTACATTTGTTATTGTTAAATGAATACAGGACCACCTCTGAACACTGAGATTGGGGTGGGGGAGGCTAGGAACAGTATTGGGGATTAAACTCAGGGTCTTCATACTGAGCTGTATCACATGGTACCTTTTAGTTTTTAGGATAGGCTCTTGCTAAGCCACTAAGCTGCCCAGAGTAGACAAACTTGCAATCTTGTGTCTGCTTCCCAAGTAGCATGTACCTGGGACTACAGGTACTTGTGACTGTACTGGCAACACTTATTTTCTAACATTTTTTTCCTATTCCTGCATTGTTTGTTTCCTTCAGAATTTGTTCTGGTCTCATTCATTCATTTTTGAGACAGGGTTTCTATATGTAGTACAGACTGGCTTTAAACTCACTGTGTAGCACAGGCTGGCCTCAAACTCATGGCAATCCTTCTGTCTCAGCCTCCCAAGTGCTAGGATTATATGTGAGCACCACCACATCCTGCATGTTGTTGTTGTTGTTTTTTAATGCAAAGTCTTTCTTCACATGTCTGTGATTCCTGATGTTCGTTCATATTAAAAACACTGAAACCTGACAAGAAGTTTTATGGACAGGTAAACCTGCAACTGTGTAAATGTCACATCACTGCTGGAACACAAGGCACCAGGTACGTTTACTAGGGAATTTTAACCAGTATCTGTATTAGCTTTTTATCACTATAACCAAATTCCTAAGAAAATCACTTAAAGAGGAAAGACTCATCTTAGCTCAGTTTCAGAGGTTTCAGTTCATAATTGACTGGTTCCACTACTATGAGCCTGAGGTGAGGTGGAAGGGCATGGTGGAGCCAAAGTGCTCTTCTCATGGCAGCTAGGCAGGAGAGAAAAATGGAAAAAGCAAGAGAGGATAGACTGAGGACCAAACATAGTCCTCAAGGTCACTCCCACCATGATCTACTCCTTTCACTTAAGCCCCACCTCCTGTTTCCATCATTCATCTCCCAATAATGCCATAAAATTATGATCTCACTGAAGAAGCTCAGTCACCTCTCTAGTGTTCAATCTGAACACTACTGCATAGTGTACTAAGACCTCAGTACAAGCATCTTTGAGGGACATTTCATAATTAAACCATACACAGCATCCTTCAAGGTTACTCCTCTAGGGCCATCAACTTTTCCAGGAAATCTTCCAATGTCTTCTGTCGAACAACACAATGACTGCTGTTTCGTTTTTAAAAAACCTATAGAAATCTCTTTCCCCTTAAGACTTTTTGCTCACCCTTACGCTTTTTATCTTCCTATCTTTAAAAAACAGTTTTAACCTTTTTCTAGTCAGGAAAGAAACAGATAAGATTTACAGTCAATTCACCAAGTGAAACCAGAAATCTATGAAGCAAATTTGGAAAGAATGGTTAAGAATTATATCATAGTTGCCTTGGCAACCTGTTGCTTCTTCTGTGGCTCTGTTTCAAACTTATTTCAGAAGAAGGTTTATGGAGATACAACAGCTTCTCCACAAAAGAATTATGTATTTATAAGATATTAACCTGTACTTAAGAATAAATAATAGCTCAGCAGCATAAGCATCTGCCTGGCAAGCACAATTTTGTGAGTGTGATCCCTGGTTCCATAAATAAATAAATAAATAAATAAAGTAGTAATAAAAACTTAGGAGAATTTCAAAAAAACAAATAAACTATACAACACAATCTTAGAACTGTTTATATAAAGAAAAATCTATAGTGTGGCTAAGTGGTACAGCACTGGCCTAGTACACACAAGGTCCTGGATTCAATCTTCAGCAACACACACTGCTATATTAGAAAATATCAGTATTTCTTCATGAGTTTATATATAAGAGCATGGTCACCTTTTTCAGGTCTTCAGATAGTGGTGAACTGTCAATGGTTAGGCAGGGTTCAATCTTGCTCCGGAGGACTATGTCAGGCTGCTTTGTGCCTGACTTCAGCTTCTGCAACTAAGTAATACAGGCATTAAAGAACAAGTATCTGCCCTCAGCCATTAGCACAGAGGACTTTAAACAGAAGAAATACAAGCTTTCCATGCAAAATCTTAGGTATATATGGTTCCTGAAAAACACCAAAAGTACCAATATGAGATCATTTAACCAAATAAAAAATATTTTCCCATGCAATACAACACTAGATAATTTTTAAAGAATGTCTTTAGACAAAGTTGCCAACCTAAGGAGTTTATCTTCTAATATCAAGACTGGAAGGAAGAAGGATTTTAAGTATAAAGAGTTTTCTGTACTATTTAACTTTTATAGGGCCTGTAGTACCTGCTGTAGATCAGAGATTCCACCAGCTCTCAAAGGATCAGGGTTTAAAAACTGCAGTAATCTGTAAAATTGTTAAAAGAATAATTTGAGAAGTATTTTTCTTCAATTGAGCTGTTAATTCAGGTCTCCTTCTTGACACAGGTCTAACAGACTATCTATCCTAAGGTACACCTATCAAAGGACTGTGTTCTGTTTTTCTTGGTTTTAACAGACCAAGAAAATGAAGGTCATTTGCCAGACCAATTGTGTGTTGCCCAACCCTGGGCCTATGTGCTGTCGGCACCATGCTACTTCCCATGTCCTGCAGAATAGTGAAAGGAGGCCCATCCCCGCTTAGGGAACACTGAGCTTAGTCTACTTATTTAGCTTTATTTTATAGATGACAAGATGAGACATGCATATGATGGCACACACCTGCAATACTAACTACTCAGGAAGCTTAGATAAGACCAAATTCAAATCCAGGTGACTTAAGAGACGCAGGCTCAAAATAAAATTTAAAGACCTGAACTATAGCTTAGTGGTAGAGCATATGTGTAAGGATCAAGATTTTTACTTTCAACATTGAAAATACAAACGAAGCCCTGCAAATATAGAAACCCCACAAGATTAGATAGGACTTGTCTGCCACTACTTCTAACTCATACCCAATACCAATATATGTAAGGTCTGCTGAAAGTAGCAGAAAACTCACAAACCATTTCCAGTACAGTTAGGAAGAAAGATGGTGATTAAATATCCAAGTCAAACTGCACTGTTTTTTGAAGCCCCAACCCTGTAAATGGAATTTCTAACACTAAAACAGCAAGACCCAAATGTTTATCAAAAAATGAATAAATAAAACATACTGTATCTATACAATGGGGAATTAGTCATAAAAAAGGAGTAATCATTTGTGTACAATAGAGATGTATTTTGAGGTCTTGCTAAGTGAAAGTCAGCATGACAAGCTTCTCCAGGACATTGAACAGTGCACCATCATCCCTCTGGAGCAGGAAGCGATGCTCAAAGTAAGGACCAGAACTCCCCTAAAGTGAACCACAGACATTCTCAGCAACAAAAGGGTCTCAAGCTCCTTGAACAAGAACAGCCATGTTCATATCAAGAAAGTCAGTATGACAAGGTCCTCAGGAGAACCAACAGCCTCTCTCAGAGCTTCTTTCCTCTTGCCATTTTCATGTTGTTAGCAACAATCCTCAGGTGGACCACCTACACCCAGCACCATGCTGGTTCAGTTCAGCTGGGTGTTACAAGTTGACCACAAGCTGTCAACCCAACACACCCCTTTAAAATGTACAATTCAGTGGTTTTTAGACTGTTCTCAGACTTGTGAAACCAATCAGCACTGTCTGAAAGAATAAAAGCGGTCTTTCACTCAGGGGCAAGCTATAGCAGAAGCCTTACTGGGGAATCTGACCCATCTGAGGGGAAACAGCAGACACTGCAGTCAAAAGATCCTCCACTAATAGCAACTCCTTTCATAGGGAGACTCATGACCAATGCTCCACTGTAGACCCAGTCCCTAGTTGGTACATTAGGCTCCCATGCAGGGGAGATAGCTCAGTGGCGTAAGTGCCTGCCTGGTAAGTGCGAGGGCCTCAATTCAATTCCAAGTATCACACATACACACACAGAGGCCCTAAATTCAATTCCAAGTATCACACACACACACACACACAATGTGTGTGTGGCTCTACATTAGGCTCCCATGTTACAGGTGAAGAGTTAGTCAAGAAGCACCTGAAGAAAGCCACTGGCCTCAAAGACACAAATAAACAGTATTGTTACGTATCACACAATGTTTTTTAAAAAATAATCTAAAATGAAAAAGAAGATCAGGTCAGATGACAGCCACACCTTCCCACTCTAAATTCTCTGATTTGCCTCTGTCTCAGTTACTTTTTTCTTTGTCACTGGGACAAAATACCTAACACCCAAAATTAGGGACGGAAAGGTTTATTTAGTTCACAGTAGAGGTTTCAGTCCATACTCAGTTGGCTCCAAGGCAGAGTTGCACATGACAGAGGGCAGCAGCTCATGGAAGGAAAAAAACAAACAAAAAACAGCAAAGAACAAAAGGAGGAGCAGTGGTAGCAGTTACTAAGCCTCTCTCCCTTCCTTATGTTCAGGCTATCCACCCCAGGGCAGGGGTATTACTCACACCCACAATCACAGCATTAGGTCATGAATTAATCACAAATTCTAGAAGCCTACTCCAGTGACTGCATGAAGTTTTGGGGGAACAACTAGACACAAACCATAACATTCCACCTCTGCCCCCCACCAAAGATGCGCACATATCCCTTTTTGAAACAGGCATTTTAGTCCATCTCTAAGAGTTGCCAAAATCCTAAAGAGTTTCAGCATTGCTGAAAAGTCCAAGTCTCAAGTCTTCCCTGAAATATAAGGCAAACTCTTAGCTGTGAGTCCCTATATGAATGAAGAGTTAAACACTCCCAACATTCAATGGCACCAAAAAAAATTTACCATTCCAAAAGGTACAAACAGTAGGATACAAAGCATTGGGACCAAAGCAAGTCCAAAATTCAGCAAGGCAAACATTAAGTCCTGTAGCTCCATGTGGGACATCTGAAGCAATCTGTCACAAACTGCAAGCTCCTTGTGGCTCCACCTCTATAACACTTTTGGTGGTAGCTCCCATGGCTTCTCTCTTAGGCCTACTTTGCTTCCTTCTTGCAGCTTTTCTTAGATGATCCACATTCCTGGCTTTCTCAAACTTCTGGGGTCGACCCCAAGATCCAGCCCTAGCCCAGGCCCACGAGTGTGTGGGAGAGCTTCTGGCTACCTTGCGCCTGCAGGACCTATCTGCTCCAAACTCAGGTGCAGCGTGAGACCCTCTTCTGCGCCCTTGAGACCCTCCCAGCACCACTCCGCAGCTCCCCCTCACACCCTATAAGTGAGAACTTCTGTCGCGTTCTCAGGAGCCCCAGATCCATCCCCAGCCCAGGCCCAGTGAGTGTGTAAGACAGCTTCCCCTCACACCTACTCCCTCTTATCCCCTTCAGACTCAGCTTAGGCTTGGCATACAGGCCTGGGGTGAAACTCTGCAGCTGCAGTCCGTGCAGACAGAGTAGGGGACAGAACCACCCAGCTAGTCCAAGAGCAGAACATCTTGCCAGAGGGGCACAACAGGTTCACTCACAAGGGTGGCAGCAGAAAGGAGCTGAGCACAGCAGCCAGACCCAAGCCAGGCACAGCTGGATAAATTCAAACTTTGTAGATCTGCACCTGAATTTCAGTAGGTGCTAAAGTTATAACTACACCAAAGCTCTACACAAAAGGTCAGAAGACAGTGCTATACAAAATGACAACGAGAAGGAGCAAAATGCAATCTCAGACCCCAAGCTCACCCATAACAAAGTGCAGAGGACAATAGCACAGAACAAATCGGGAATCACACAGCTGAAATCAATGAATCAAGAGCTTCTGAAATAAAGAAACAACTGCAGAAAGGTATAGAGGAACTCAGATCGGAAATAAAAAAGAAATTCCTGAATTAATAGCATCTGCAGTAAAGAACCAAAGGCAGAAACCTATGGAGAAACCCAATGCCCACTCAGAGCAAATGAAGAGAACACTAGCTCTGCTGAAATGTATGAATTAATAGCATCGAAAGTAAATAAGCAACAGCAGAAAGATATAGAGGAACTAAGAGCAGAATTAAATGTCTGAAATAAAAAAGAAATCTCTGAACTCATAGCATCTGAAGCAAAGAATCAAATACGGAAACACATGAAGGAAACGCAATCTGAAAAAAACTCTGCAGTAAACGAATAACTGCTTCTAAAGAAGATACTGATTAAAAAAATAGAGGAGATTAGAAAAATGATGGATTCCTTGAATGAACAATGCAGGAAAGAAATAGTATGAAACAGAGTCAAAGAGATACAGAGGAATTTAAAATCTCAATCACAAGCTTGTAAAACAATTTGAGTGAAAGTGAAGATGCAGTTTCAGATCTTGAAGACGCTGGTGCAGCTAGTGAAAAGGTAAGAAAAGATCTCTTAAAAACAACTAGGATGCAGGAAAAAATAATTCATCACTTGCAAGACAATGCAAAGATGAACAATGTGAGACTAATAGGTGTCGATGAGAAAGATGGAGTCAATACAAATGACATTAAAAAAATATGGGCAGAAGTAATAGCAGAAAACTTCCCAAATATGAAGAAACAATTTGACATCCAGGTAACCAAAGCATACAGAACACCAAGTAACCTCAACCCAATAAAGAACATACTGAGACATATAACAGTCAAGATCTCAGAAATTCAGCACAAGAATAATATACTGAAAGCTGCTACAGAAAAGAAGCAGATCACATTCATAGGAAAACCCATAAGAAT